TAGAAATATACCCTTCTACATAGTGCAAGTATATATTTAGACATGTTATATTTATATAGTCATTAGGAAGGTATTCATATCATAATTAATAAACAAAAATGTAAGAATAAGAAAAATATATATACATATATAAACACTACACACGCTATATTACAAAATTTACAAGTGTATCAGGCATATTAGGCTAATTTATAAAGAAGTAAATATATACAAATCGTATGCTAATAGAGATGAGATGGAAAAGAGATTGTAATATAGCGTGTGTAGTGTTTATATATGTATATATATTTTTCTTATTCTTACATTTTTGTTTATTAATTATGATATGAATACCTTCCTAATGACTATATAAATATAACATGTCTAAATATATACTTGCACTATGTAGAAGGGTATATTTCTATATTTACCCTTTGATGCATATTCCAGGTAACCAGCATAGATTATCTATATTTAGACAGTAGGATATTTTAATAATGAAGAAGCAAGTCATATGGTCCATAAATGTTTCTTTTTATTTATTATTTATTGTTTATTTGATTTATTCTATCTTTTGATTGTGGATCCAGGGAGGACAAAACAAGTTGCTATATTTCAATTGAAAACTTGCCCCCTTTGTTCACTAGGTACCCGCCTAAATTATCAGACACACTGAGTCTTTATGTGAAGCAGATGATATTGAATAGTTATATGTTTTATGCATGTTTACATTCAACTCATAATTTGTCTGGATACAATCTGTACAGTTGGTGCACACTAGTGAGCAATTTAAATGGATCTCCTTTTGATTTCTGATATGCGATCTGGTTGTCATGGAGCGTTTTGGTGAGTGCCTATATTAGGGACATTCAGGAATGCCAATGTAGATGTAGTTACCGTGTTATTATTTCTACTGGTCGGCTGTATCGGATCACTATTACCTTTAAACCCCACTCTAACATATTGGGCAATTCTTAATATCTTAGATGCACCCCATTTAATCTTTGGCGTACCCGCCCATTTGACCATGAGGGGCGGAGTAATCTCTAGCTGTATGAGGAGATCTCCGCCCTCTTTCACATACCTAACTACGCCCACGACGTGTTCCATTCCGCTTTCCGTTGTGCCGCTTAGACCACGTGACCTATAACATACTCGGTCACGTGTTCGGCAGCAAGCCCCGCCTACATCTGTCTCTCGTTGCCTACCAAGACACAGAGACAATTTGGAGATTATGTCCAGCTGAGTTTATACATCCCTAGATCCTATTGGCTAAAGGTATTTATTCTTTTTTGGCACTCTCTGTATTTAAGAGACTTTTTAATCAGTTTACTGTTGGCCCCTGACGAAGGTGCTCCTTTATAGCACCGAAACGTACGTCGGGCATTTTTTTCTCCTCATATCATGTATATGAGCACTGGGCACTGGTGAATGTAGCACCATGATTTTTATTTAACACTTACTTCTATCCTTTTCCTATGCCTGTCTAGTTAGATTTACAGGGAGAGAGGCTTGTTTAAATTTTAAATACCAGTCTGTCTTTTCAGACTGATTACTGACTACATTTCACTTTCCATCTCTCCCTCCTATATCTATTAGCTCTTTTGTGAGCCCTTCTGTTACAATGATTACTGATTTTTTTAGGTGGGGAAGTATGCTGGGGCTCTAGCCATTGGTCACTCATACCCGTTTAGCATTGTACAATAAAGCTGGTAATTAGGGTTGAGGCAGGACATTAGACGGCAGATATTTAACCCCTTGTACATATATTCCCCGCTTTCATCTGGCATGGGATCTGAGTCACACCTGTATATACTTTATTTGATTGATTTTTTCTGTTTTTGAGTCTCTATTTATATATATTTATTATTTTGCCATCATTTTCTAGACTACACTCTATCGCTATAGATATTTCCAGATATGTGGTTAGTCCATAGGATATAGGGAGACTGACTACATTGCGCTATATATATTCTTTGTCTTTTGGTTATTGGGGTCAAGCCCTGCTTGGGATTTCTGGAGTTTTCTCTGTGTGTAACCTGTCACCACACCCTGCGTTTCTTCCCGGGAGGTGGTTTGCACAGGTGTCTACACAGAGATATTGCACAGTGTGTTCATTTCGGAAGCATAAGGTACCCTAGGGTGTAGAGGGTATAGATCCTGTGTTTATAACAAAGGAACTACCTCAATGAAAGGAGCAACAGGCTCAATAAATAGGCATGGATGGTAACATATAACAATTCATCAGTAATTGTTACCAAATTGCCTTCAAGGACACCTAAATCCAACCCCCCTAATAGAATGTATATATAGAAGGAGGAAAGCAATCCGTGAGGAGAATAATATCGTTTAATAAACGAACCGTAAATAGCCTCCCCGTGCCTTCAAGGGCACCTAAATCCAACCCCTTCGTTAAGTGTATCGAAGGAGTAGAGTGCAGCCATATAAAATAAATATCAACTTAATGTCATAAGCTGCATAATAATTCCCTTAACGTGCGCGTTTCACCCGACCAGGCTCGTCAGAAGGGAACCAGTCGGTGTGAAACACTCAGTTTAAAAGAAAGCAGATGGCTCATGATTGGTTAACAGAGGATGCCTCTGATTGGTGAATAGCTTGACGTCATGGGAATAGATCCGCCCATTGCATGACGTCGAAGAAGGGGAGGATGTTAACCCCTAAGGACCAAGACAAAAGGGGAAACGATGACAGAAATATATCAAAACGAAAGGAACTGAATTAAAGCAGTGGAGGTTACCACTGCAGGTGTTAATGAATGTAACACAATAAGAGATCTAGATGTATTGTGATAATGTGGGAGATGGTACATCTCAAATAAGGAAAAAAGAGATATAATTGATGCTGTCAAAATCAGAAATGTAATAATCTGAAAGTAATATATAACATACTAAGATGGCTTAAGAAAAAGCCTAAGTGGAATCTATTTGTTTATTAGAATGAGGATAAGAAGAAATGAAATAATCTGAAAATGATATATAACAGACTAGGATGGCTTAAGAAGAAGCCTAAGTGGAATCTATTTGTTTTATTAGAATGAGGATGACGCAGAAATGGAAGATTAATAAGAATATGTCCATGAATAATATAAAGGGAAAATGTTC